GGATTTTTGAAAGAAACGATAAACTTCGAGGCCATTTGAAATCCCTAAGATCCATGTCATTCGACCCAGTTTTTGATCCTGATTCAGAATATGATCTGGTTTTTGCCAAAATGGCAAAGAAGACACTTAATTTCAAAGAGTTATTCACAGAATTCATAAAAATTGAGTTTTTGGACAACGAAGTAAAATTTTTCGTTACCGATACATACTTTTTTCTCTCATCAGTATATCAGTTAGAATGAAGTATAAAAAAAATTTAATCTCCCAAATCCCTGGACTAGACAGGTTTACAAGATTGGTCAATGGCCTTTTACCATCCTGCTAGTGTTCCACGCTTCTCAAAGGCAAGTTAAGTTTTAAGATTTACAAAATCAGTTTCTATACCCAGCTTTTGATGAAGTGTAAAAGAAAAGTTGTTTTGCAATTTTAAAAGTGAATGATTAGTTGAATTTTTAGTTTTATTCAAACGTTTGCCGATTTTTACTATTTTTGAGATATAGATATTTCAAATTGTTTTAAATGAAAAATGTGTTCCAAAATTATGGGATAAAGTTTTTTCTAAGCAACGCGATTTGCTATATCCAACGCAAGTATGGCGAAAACAACGAAAAATAAAATTCTGAATCTTACAAAAAAGAAGCGACAGAAGGAACGTGTGTATGTTTAAAAATTAGTACTTTCTATGTCACTCCCGCCTAAAATCCACAGGTATGACATTTCATTACTGGACATAGTGCTTCAAAGTAACTTGACAGAATTTTTTCCTTTGTAATTATAGAAAGAATCCTTATAGCAATAGTGATCAACCACTACATTTAAAAACCTTTGTATGGTTAAATCTTTGGAAAAAGTTGTTAAGGATTAAGGACATAATTAATTTTGTCTGCCGCACGTGACTATACGATTATAAAATTGGAGGAGTGATTTCATCATGAAAACACTTAAATGATGTTGTCAAAAACATCGTGTCTATTCAGTGCTCTCGTTACAAATGATAGCAGAATGAATACAAAAGTCGATTGCATATCCTAAAGAGAGATGCAGCATGACTTAGCAGACCGATTGCTCACCAGTTGTCACAACGATGAATGTTTGAACCAAGCACAGGATGGTAAGTTGATCATGTGTTCTTCAACCACATTCATTGTGGCACACACTGGAAGAATTTTCATCAGATATTGCAATATGTTTAGAATAGTGGAGAGAGAGATGACATGTTATGAGGGTAATATAAGCCTAATGGCTGGCTAAACATCCATATTAGATTGAGAGGATAGAACCGTGCCTACACGGCAAAAAAAAAGCATCCAAAAGTTGAGTGGGCAGTTTTTCCGTCACATCTTGGTATGCTTTTTTGCTAGACGGTTTTTTTCTCGACGAATTTTTTCGTATGTTTCTTTGTTAGATGGAAAAACAAAATTTGAAAAGATTTCCAGATAATATTTTAGTTTTGAGCGCACTATTCTTTGGAAGATCAGGCGGATCTGCTGGACCGATCCACTATCGCAGGAAATCAGTCGTTTCTGAGATAAACTAATGCAGTGAAACGAGTCATCTATACAGTATGCACTTAAATACTATGCTTGGACGAATTTTGTAATTCATTTTTGTCGTATTTTTAGTATACTTTTCGTTGACATTTTCTAGTGGGTGCTTTTCTGGACGATTTTTTTTTACCGTGCAATACTCAGAAGAACCATCACTGAATATGACACTGCAACTCATATTTGAGAGTGAGTATGGACCTTGTTAATCTCCGTTCTTTAAAGCCTCTCTTCAAAGCCTCTCTTCATATAGGAGAGACCAAGGACCTGAACTCTTGATAATGCATAGCATATATTGGAGAAGAGAGAAAGAGAATGTGTACACACTTAATTATATTTTGTTAATAATCGTACACATAAAAAGAGAAACTCTCATATCAGTTACATACAAGCATGCATATCAGTTAAAAAACGACGTGGCTAGCCAACTCTGCTATCGTATAGATAGAAATCCGGGCTTTTCAGAAATATTTTGCTGAGCAGTAAACATCACCATATCGATTTTTATGTTAATGCCATTAAACGTATTCGTCTAAAGAAGCTTGTGGATCTAAGTTTTGAAACAAACCGAATCATCACTAAAACGTTTTGTCCTTCTCTATGATGATGATTTGTTTATATTCAACAGGTCTTAAAAAAATAATGTTAAGAATCGAGTTTATTGAAAGATCAAATCGAAGACAGCAAAATGAGTTCGTGAAAAAGCCATTACATTTTCCTCATAGTTCTACTCATTCATGATGCATATATTTTCTCTTGAATAACGGATGATAATCACAAGAAAATAAACATCAGAGTTCGTTCGCGATTACTCTTGAAAAATGGGATGAATGTCTCCTGCATTATAAATAGAATAGTGCATTCGACGTACAGATTTTTCGACATGTTTTATATTTCTATATGAATATGGACACATGAAAATTATCCTTAATTATTTTAATGATTTTACATAACAATTATAGGCAAGTGTTTTTTCACCAAGATGTTGATCTATATTAGCAAATACTTCATAATTTTCACCAATGATTGATGAGTATTTAGCAGTCTCTTTGTACTTTTTTTGCAGAATCTCAACATATCTTCCAAGCACCTTCATATCCACTTCCTTTATACAGTGTGATTTTTATATTCTGAATAATATCTTCTAATTTTTCATTCCAGGTCTGGTCCAGTTTCAATTACTTTGACGAGCGTCATGCATACATTAAAATTTTTAATCATGCACACTCTTCTTAATCAATTAATTCGCATTTTTCTTGTATTTCTAGTGCCTTTATAAAATTTTTCATACTTGAAATTATATCGGCTTTTGAACTATAACATAAACCAATATTTATATACAATGATGATATTTTCACTTTATTTTTTGGTAGTTAGCAGATATACCCTTGCGGCTTTTTTTTGTATAACCCTTAGAAAGATATATGTAAGAGTGCCTATAGACAGAATTGTTTGTTTATTTTTGAATTAGAATCTAATTCAAAAAAAAAAAGAATCTCATTTCATTTTTTTGTGTTCTTTTTGGACCAAAAATCTTTTGGCCCATCGACAAAAACCTTGCCCATTTTGCCCATCGTTTTTTTCCGATACAATAGAAGTTTGCCCATTGGACTAAAAATCCTGATTACGCCGCTGTACATAAACGCCAATTAATTTTGAATATTCTTTCTGATTTTGATACACTTGTTTATTTATACAAATGATATAAAACGAATCGAGTTTTTCGTTATCATGAAACAATCTTAAAGTTTTCTCTGAATATTGATCGGATATACTTTTTTACATATCTTAGTAAAGAAAAGTCTCCTGAATCCAATGGTGAAAGAATTAATTAGTTTGCACCAAAATTGACCAAGTTATGACCGATAGAATGAGTTTAGAACACTGACTCTTCGACTGATATGAAAAAAAAAGAACGAAGGAAGTAGACACTGCTCGACGTTCTTGTGGGTATTCTTGCAAGACTCTTGTTTCTTGGTATTTCAGACAAATATCCTGTAAAATATTGTTTCATTTTTTCGCATGGGCAGACATATCTCGTATGCAGAATTCTGCAGAAATAGCAGTAAACGCTAAACGTCTAATATAAGGTATAACACAGACGCAATTGTCTGAAAATATTGCGCATGTTCTTGTATAAAGAAATTAAACACTTAACAATGATTAACTAAGGATTTTTAGTTACACATTCCTAAGGTTCAGAAATAAATAGCAGAAAACGAAAGATTCTTGTCTGAAATGGCAAGAGAGAAAAACGTTGCCAGAATATCTTCTAGATATTCCCCAGCGAAGCAAACTGCTGTTCAGATCTTATTTAGAAAAAAATTTTCTAGCAAACGATAACTGGCTCGCGTATTATACTGACTCAAATTAAAACCTACGGTAAAAATGGGTTATTGACAGTTTTTCGATAAAAGGCAGAAGTACAACAACCACGACCTTCGTGCGTCAATTTTAGGTCTAATGAACCACGTTCTGTTGTTTAGATTTCAAACAATTAAAAACACGTTCCTTATCTAACAACGCGTTCTCATTGAATGCATTCGAACGTATCCCTTAAGAATAGACTCTTCTAATTCAGGAATACGTTCTTGCTAAACGACACGAATACGTTTTAAGACAGTACGAAAGCGTTCTTTGAAGAACGCATTCTCATAGTCATAGAATGCGATCACCATTGAATGCGTTCCCCAAGAACGGATTCCTATCTATTAGGAACGCATTCAATGACAACACGTTCGTACTGAGACGGAACGCGTTCGCCTTTGCCAAGAACCCGCTCATACGGGTTTATTTTTCTCAGAACGCGTGCTTAGTCCATAAAACGTGTTCCATTTTTTGGAGAACGCGTTCTTGGCCGTTCTTTTTTAATAACTTTTTTCCATGGGTAGGGATCCTTTTAGTGTTCTTTTGGAACGCGTTCTAATAGTTTTAGAACGGGTTTCCTTTGTACGCGTTCCCAATCCGAAACGGGTTCGAAAGGAACGCGCCCTGGAGACGCTTTTAGCGTTATTTTGGATCGCATTTTTGTTGGCTAAGAACGGTTTTTTTCGAACGCGTTCCTGGTGAAGAGGAACGCACGCTTTTCAGCAAAAAAAACTTTCGAGGGAATAACACGTTCAAGAAGAACGCTAAAAGCGTCTCTAGGACGCGTTCTATTATTTCAAGAACGCGTTCTTCACCGTTGTTTTTGGACAACTTTTTTTCATGGGCAGGAACGCAACGGTTGAATCAAATAATTGTATTCATTCAACCGTTGCGTATCTTATACATATCAAGCAGAACAACCGTTATATAAGTCAAAGAAACCATTCATTTCCAACAACCAACCATTTTTCATTCAATTTATTCTAAGAGTAAGTATTATACGTTAGCTTTGACGAGCAACATATGTTGAAATATTTTTTGTTAATAAATTACTGCAATATATACAATCACGTGAAATAGAAAAAGACAATGAAGCATAGAAAATTGAATGTTGGAATAATAGGCTGCGGTCCAAGTGGTCTCGTTACACTTAAAGAATTAAAAGATGAAGGACATGATGGTACTGTATTTGAAAAATCCAGCGTTATTGGAGGTATATTTACCACCTTTTATCAAGAAGGCTATATGGTTAGCAGTAACTTGGTAACAATGTTTAGTGATTTTATTGGTGGTGAAGAAGATGAACTATTAAAAAAACCGCGGATGCTTAGTTTCGTAGAATATTCAAAATATTTAAATGATTATGCTGAACATTTTAATTTGAAATCTTCTATTAAATTTGACAGTTTAGTAGAATCAGTATGGAAAGATATACCAACTGGTAAATGGAAAATAAGAGTAAAATCAATTCTAGACGAGCACGAAACAGTACATCTATTTGATCGTATAGCAATAAGTTCTGGTACACATCAGAAAAGATCAATGCCAAATTTTACTGGCCAAGATCGTTATCAGGGTAAAATTAAACATTTACAGGATATAAAAAGATTTGATGATTTTTCCGGTAAACGCGTTTGTATTGTTGGAAGTGGCGAAGGTGCATCCGATATGGCAGTAGCAGCAGCTAAATATAGTAAAGCAGCATTTATATCAATTCGAAAAGATCATGGTTTTATTATCCCTCGATATGCACCTCCTGATTATGACCCGGCTGATCTTAATACATCTCGTGCGTTTTGGTCACTACCACGTTGTTTTGGTCAATTTTATACATATTTGCTGCTTTTCTTTGGTTTCGTAGAATATTATTTTAAGGGTACACGTAATATTCAAGAGAAAGTACACAAGGAAAGTTTGTATATGAACTGGAAACAAACGAAAACAAGTAATATAATGAATACATATGGAACAAAGAGTGCTGGATTAGTTGAAGCTTTAGTTGAATACAATGGTAAACGTAAACCAGGTATAAGAGAATTAACTGAAAAAACAATTATATTCAATGATGGAACACAAGAAGAAGTTGATGAAATTATATGTTGTACCGCATTCATAAATCAATTTCCTTTTCTAGAAATAGCGGACAAACAAGCTGATCCTAATCACTCTAAATTAGTTCGTCAAATTGCTGAAGATGCACGTATATCACATGATTTGTATAAACATTGTGTTCATCCAGATATTGGTGATGAATTATTTTTTATTGGTTTTGTTCGCCCATGTTTTGGTGCGATACCGCCATTAAGTGAAATGCAAGCAAGATGGTATGCATTACTATGTTCACAAAAATTACAATTACCAGATAAAGAAACAATGATACAAGAAAGTAAAATATATGTTAAATATTTAGAATGGCAATTAACACCATATAGAACAAATCGTATTGTTAATTTAACGGATTTTCTTATTTATTCAGATGATTTAGCACGTACAATTGGTTGTAGACCAAATCTATTGAAGATGTTTTTTACTGAACCGTATCTATCGTTAAAATGTATATGTGGTCCAATAATGAGCGTACATTATCGTTTAACTGGTCCTAATAGCCAACCTGTTCAAGCTCGTCGTATAATTAAACGGGTTAAATGGATTAAACATAGTAATTTCTTTTGTCTTGGCTTGTCATTATCTCATGGAATATTTTGGTTTTGTGGTATTCAAGCATGCAAACCAGCTGCGTGGTATCGTATTTCGATTTAAATTAAAGCATAAACACACAATTTATTCGTTATAAATCCCAAAGACTTTGACATATTTCAAAAAGAACACAGAACTTTTTCACCGAAACAGTTGATCTTATGTAATAGCGACATGTTTATTATCCCCATTAATCTCACCATGGATTTCGACGAAACGGGTTCTGTCTCTTTAGAGTGCACGCAGCAAGACCAAAATAGCCTGAGATGAGATAAGAGATGGACTGGTATCTATTCTTGAGAGCTATGAAACTCAGGTATTCCAGTTAAACACCGAGACAGGTTAGAGTAGAGAGGCATTTTTATTGTCGCGTTGTTTTACTAAATAACAAGTAACTGACGTTTTAAAATCAGAATAAATCAAGTGGACGTCCATCTTTCATTTCTGTTCCTTGTTTGTAGTATCAGTAACGTATGAATTACTATTAGTATCGGCACCAAAACACGGTGGTCGTGACCATTTTGCTAATAACTTTTTTTAGAAGCATGATAGCGACCTGCGGTTTTCACCATCGTGTTTCTAAGACCTTGGGAGATGTTTTTGAAAGCAGAAACTTGTTTCAAAGTTTTCTGGAAGTTCGACTTTCCAAAGGATCTTTGGAAAACCAGCTCCGTTCTCAGAAAACTAACATACAAAGTTAGTAATTTTTTTGCATGCATAAGTAGTCCGGAGGCTACTCTACAAAACTATGCAAGTTCCAGGTCTCCAGCTATCATCACTGGGACAGGGCTCGCTTGTCACCAGCCAAAATTAAAACCCTTATATCTCGGGCCAATCTCATGCTGACTCAATGAAATTTTCAGAAAAGATTTAAAAGGCGTCATATATTGTTGATTCAGTCGAAAAAGGAGTCCAGCAGAACACTGAGACGTTGAGGTTTTCTAAAAGGTTTCTGGAAAACCTTAACCCAATACCCAGCTCAAATTCCATTTTTTCGTCTTCAATTATGATTTATGAGCGATTCTGAGCGTTTTCTGAAAATTTCATTGAGTCAGCATGAGATTTGACCGAGATATAAGGGTTTTAATTTTGGCTCGTGACAGGCGAAAAACCGGTTTTCCACAAAATTGTCTCTCGTGAAGTTATTTTCATTTCTACACAAAAGCAAATGTTCCCATGATGCACAGCGTAGTCGATTACCTCCATGGCATTTTGAGATTTCCAGAGATGTTTGCTCGGAGATAGACACGCGCTCGGGGAAAGCGAGCCCTGTCCCAATGATGATAGCTGGAGACCTGGAACTTGCATAGTTTTGTAGAGTAGCCTCCGGACTAC